CCATATTATTATTTGCGAGCTCCAACATCTGAAAATCTATATTTGGCATTGAAACCGGGCTTACAGTGCCACACAGAAAGTGCAATTTAAAATGGCGTTTTCAAAGAGCTTTGTGCTCTATGTAAGGTACATGTAGACTGTAAATGATGGATGTCTTTAGAAGTTGTTTGGAATCGATGCGTGCAATACACATACATGTACATGTACATGTACAGTACATACAGTTGTACATGAGCATGTACCACAAATGATGATTTTTTCAAAGTTTTGAGTTTCCCAACTCGGACAACTGCTGCTCCTTTTGTTTTTAATCTATCAAAAATATCTCATTCTCTGTCCCCAATGTACAGTGTACATGTACATCAACAAGAAGAATATTAACGTGTACCGCAGGCCTACATGTACACGATGTATACGTACATGTACATGTATGTGTACATGTACCAGAACTAAATGTATGTGCATACTGACCATACAAGTGATTAGTTGCTTGTACGCGTATAAAGTCCACACATGATGCATTCCGGATTCAACTTCTATACCCCTTTTTCTTTTCAAACAAGAACTTTGCTTTCAGAGGTCTGCCAAAGCTATTATGTACAGTTGGATTTGCGATAACCGTTTGCCAAAAGTACAATGATATGGTGAGTTTATTTTGCAATTCCTCGACAGCAATCTTTTGATAGTTTTATCGGAAGTAAATTCCATGGGTATGTCACTATCTACCCAGGTGATTAACTGGTGATTGGTGCACTGAACGCGCAGTACATGTTCGGTACATGTGCTTGTCTGCAAAACTTGTACAGTACGTATTCAGGGTAGAGTTCCAACCTGGGCAACTTACAATAAGCCAAATTTACAACATACAATGAGCACCCTCTGCATTTTGTCATGATTGCAAATGTTACTGCAAATGAGAATGTGCCAGCTTGCATACTGTACATGTGCATACATGTCAGTACAGACATGTACATGTAGAATGCATATTGCATATATTCCAAATAGAAAGAACGGGTGAAGGCCAACAAAGGAAAAAAATCAGTTTCCAGTTACCTGACTGCCCTTAATTTCGCGGCCTGACCTTGAACTTTTATTGACAAGTTTGAAAAAGTATTTAGATGTATAAGAGTGTCCTTTTTTATTTCATCAAATACATAGGCCTGTGCATCATAACCAGTTAAGTGGATTTCCCAATTCGGAACCAATTTTTTGCATTTACAGTCGGTATGACTGTAAATGCAAAAAATTGGTTCCGAATTGGGAAATCCACTTAACATATTAGTAACTTGCTTTACAAAAATCAAAATAGTGTCAACGGTTTCTGTCTAGTAGTTTGAAAACAAAAAATGGGCTAGGGTACAAGGTAATTTAAATGCATTTTATACACACATGAATATGTATGTGTACATGTACGCCTTTCTTTTCCCTTGCATTTTGGGATTAAATATATTTCATGTGTATCTGGGTCATTCTATAAATTCAGGGTCCAAAAGTGTGGCATTATTGTGTCCCTGTTACACCTGACCTGCGTAATTTGACACAGAAATATCACTGAAATTGATTTCAAACTAAGGATATTTCTATTCGTTTGGCAGGTACATGTAATTTGCATGAATTCATCACTCTTGGGAATTACTGAATGGGTTCTAATCTTACAAAAGATTTCACACATTAGATGTGACAGGGACACAAAAACATATTGGACCCTAATTTATAGATTGACACACCTGTCTACCTGGGTATCATATTCTATTGCAATAAAGCAGCCAGTTCCTGTAATACCTGTGAACTATGTACATGTACGACACTACATTTAGCCTTAAAAATGTCCATGATGTAGCTGCTGTCTTTAATGCATCATGTACCCTGTCAATGATGGGGCACAAACCTAATTTTAAGTTAACACATTTGGTGATTTTTGCATTCTCAAGTTAATGCTCGCAAATGTCTACTGTGCACTGTATAAATCTCCTTTCTTCACGGATTTCTCGACATGCTATGCAATTCTCACAACTTTTTTCAATTTGTCTTACCGGTAATTTGTTTTCGAAGACACGTGTATAAGGGTGTGGTGCCAGTGCGTATGCAACTGTTACATACATGTACCCGTACATGCAGGTGTATACCTTTTGACAATGTGCGTGCTCGTCATGCATCTCAGAGACAACATCACACATATTATTACATTGTATCATGTTCTTCATTCCGCCCTGGTGGCGATTGCCACGGACCTACTATTAATACACGTCAGGAGAATTGTCAGGTCTGGGAACCAGAATGTGCTCGTAATGGCATGCTGACAAGACTAATACATGTACATGTACACTGGTTTCTTCTGCTAAAGACATAACAGTCCAAAAAATCAATGGAAAGACCAGGAGCTTACAACCAACAACATACATGTATGAACAAAGTCATGCAGATATCATTGGAAGCAATTTGAGCTCTCTAATGAAAGTACCATTTTCCATGCAACAGTTGCCAGTCCGCATGGCAGTCCAAGCACGCAATGCTTATGATACTGACGTCTCTCGATGTTTCTCCTTTGCAAGTACTCTGTCTTACAAAGTAAACATTCAGCTCTTTGAATTGCAGGCCAAGTAAATTCTTACCTTTGTTAATGGTTTTTGAAGGAGAAATCTGTTCCCAGGTCTCAGTGAGTGAAATACACCTCAACTCAAGGTTAATCAGCAAACAAGAATGTGCCACCATCCCCCCTTCCCAAATTCTCAAACAATTTACCTCATTTCGAAATGGGCATGCACTCCGAAACAAACTTCCTTTTTGTCAGGCGCTACCGGTATTTACACTTGATTACAGATTAATCATAACGTCATGTACCTCATCAACAGTAACAAAGAGTTATTTCCTGTTCTGTTGAGACAATCTGTGAAACACACAGCGTGTTTTACGCCGTTTCCAGAAAAGCAATGGCCTGAGCAAAGTACATTTACATGTAAAGGCAAGCGTGGGTCTGGAGCGCACTTTGGAATAGCACATTTAAAACTGTGATACTGAGTCCAATATCTAATGATCTAAACGAGGAAGAACGGACAGTGGAAACAAGAATTTCACACAGAAGTGCCACACTCTACAGCAGTACATGTACCATACGCTGTAGCCTTAGGAAAATAAGAAAAGACCCTCACAGCAACTGAAATCATCATGCTTTCCTGCTTGCTGTCCGGAAAACACAATTCTTTTCAGATCCTTCTCTCGTGCGAGCCCACATCTGTGGAACCAACTCCAGTCAGATATTTGCACCATCTCCTCAGTCACTGACTTTGAGGTTTCTCTGAAAACCCACCTGTTCAAAGGATGTTGTATTATTTCTTGTTAACTTTAACTGTGCCATGAGCATCAGTTTAAGCAGATACTGGAACATTCTAAATTTCTGGTATTATGATTACTATTAGTATTATTATTCAGAGCACGGCAACTCTCATCAGTGAAAACTCACAGTCTGCACGTGAGCGTGTGTTTTTCTGGGTGGCGCTGCCTTGATTGAAACAACCGTTATTTGTCTTCACGGTGGACAATACTGCAGATAAATGTGACCATTTATTTTATAAGCGTATTGAAAGGTCAACAAACTGCCCTGCTCATAACCATTTTGGTGTTTTGGGGATATGCAATTTAACTTCAAAACCTGGGCTGTGCAAAACATCATGAATTACTACAGAGAAACATATATGTAAATTGTTATTTACAAAGCAAGAAAAGTTTCACGTTCTACTGTTAAGCCCTTCTTGCCTCGCCCACAAAAGCCTTGGAAGAGTGTTCCTTCCTCAGGCATTGTGAGCACTGTCCACAGATGCCAGCATGATGTCTAAACACGATACAGCTGGGCTCCAATCAAACTACTCAGGCCATCAACCATCTGGAGAGCAGACCGCCAACCTCAACAAGTACTCCCCCCCTCCCCTCAAGTACAGAATTTTGGATAGAGGTCCCCTGCTCCATGGGCATCAGCTCCTGCTTAGTTCAGATATTCATGCAATCCTGTAGTCTATAGTTGAAGGCTTGGCCCAGCATGCTAACAAACTACATGTACATGTACCTACAGCCAACCAAAGCAGGGCTTCCCTGGGGTCCTGATACATGTACAATATGCTTGAGGTGGTCAAACAAACTTTGCCTAAATTCTAGTGCCTAAATCAAACGTGTGCGTTTCTCAAAAAGGCCTGAAATACATGAACATGCTAGTTCTATATGGTCTAATAGTAAATTTACTCCAAATTTTCCAAATATTCTGTCTCTCTTTATCATTCTGAATGATTTAAAACTTATCTATTCAAAAACATTCTAAGTTATTTTGCTTTTTTCCCTCCAGTGCGTCAGCTCCTGCTAGGTTTACATGTAGATATTCATCCAATTTTATACTTTATTTCTTTATAAGAAGTATTTATTATTATTCATTATCTTTGTCTATTTTAAGTGTGAAGTGGTAAAATTCAACAGAAAAGCCTGGGGTGGTCTTAAAATCAGTGAGGTGGGTTGCCTCACACTTTTATAAGCAGGGGAAGCCCTGAGCCATAGCACACTTGGTCAAACATCAACTGTTGCACCCAATCATGTTCAGCCAACACAAATTCAATGATCTGAATGCAGATTACTGGTGCTGATTCCAAACAAAAACAGATTCTCTGTCCACGCGCCAAGGATTTCACAAACCACCGTCTGGATAAACAGTTTATAAAGTTTCACTTGGATTTTATTTTAAGCACAGCACCTGAGCAAATCAATCAGTGGCAACAGCAACCACATGAACAAGCAGTGTGCTGTAAAACTGAACCTGTTGAGGTCTCATCTCAAGAGATCCATCTTGAGAAAAGTTACACGAGTGCCAAGCATGTAGGCAAAATATACATGATCGGCTGTTGGCAAGCTTAAGAACACTTAATTGTACCAAGATAAAGTTGGACCGATCCACCCCTTAAAGTGATTCTACCCTGTCTGCACTTGACAAACTGAGAAGATTCGTGGGTATGAATACTTACCGACAACCATTAGTGTGAAGTCAAAACCCCTCTTAACCGATCTCCGGTAGACTTGATTGGGCAGGTTGGCAAAGCCCACGTATCCTTCCATATCCTTCGGTTTATTCTGTTCAAGAAAACAAAAAACCCACACATACACAAAAGTAAAACGCCCGTTATTCTTGATCTAAAATCTACACACATGTATATGTGTGCTGTCTTTTCAAATACGTTACAATACCGAAACTTAACCCTATGAAGGTACACTAAACACTAAACCCAACAATATCCAACAATGGGCTCTCTCCCAGGGGTTTTGATGATGTGCGCAGTGAACAAAAGGTCTTTTGTTTCAGCTGTTGGATTCTGTCTGATTCAGCAGGCTTTGCTCTTTCTTTTGTTGTATTTTGTTGGATTCAGAAGGATACCAAGAGAAGACCCAAAGGTGGTTGCGGCCAAAGGGGCCGAAGAACTGGAACTTGGGTGAGTTGTACTGGAACCTTTTTGTCGGCTCTCTTCCTTTTTTACGGTTTAAAGTAAAATAACAATTGCAGAAAAATCTTATTAAATTACGATCGCACACACATTTAACTCACTTAACAGTTCCGCAGTACAATACCAGATCAATGTTTACTCTTCCAAGACTTGTAAAAAGGTTTGGCCCTGCTACATGTAGTTTCAGAGATGGACCGTAAACAGACCAGATGGCCTCAAGTGTTTTCTTTTTCTCTTATGCACATTTTTACAGCTGTTGTTTTTATTGGGCTGGAAAAAATTCTTGGCAGACATTTGTGAAACTCCTTTAACCCCGCTAATAGCTGTGTTTTCTCAATCCAGGAAGGTAAGCATGTATAGTGCATTTCAAATAAACATTCCGAGGGGCATTATATACATGTACATGTATGTGTGCATGTATACGTACTGTATGCATGTGTGTTAGCACTTGCCGAAAATTTCATATCCTTGTACCACATAACAAAGTTCACTGGCAAATTTTCAGAAAAGTAAGGTTGGATAAAATCTTTTTCTGTGGTAAAGTCTCTT